TGTAGTGCGCATACTAATGGAGCATAATTATTTAACGACATGTTAATCACGTGCTTGTGAATTTATAAGCTTATGGCGTGCCGTGATTTACGGTACGCACGAGGCACTGATTCTAATCAGCTAAAGCATAATAAAAAGTCAATTAATTCAAGTGTAAACTCGAAGTAAACTCAAATTTTTCTTCACGCTTTACAACAACATGTTGACATCCATAGTATGAAATGTAGTATGACGTAGTAACTAATTAAACAATATGAAATCCTTTATTACTCTATATAGTCTGTAATTGTTATTGGTATTTGCAAAAAGAAATTAATATTTCTCATTATTTCTAATAGACGTTTAAACACAATATCTTCAATTCTCGAGAATAAATATTGTTTCGTGGTACAATATTAATTTTTGGTTACTCACATTACACACAAAAGCGTAAAAATGCTTCGTAACTTCATGAATGGAGAAATATCGAGAAATATGTCTGTCTACACGAAAATATTCATCCCCGAAGTGAAAGACAGTGAACTGTTGTAAATAATTGCAAAATAAACAAATAAAAATGGATAGTAAAATGAAGGATGTGAACATCAACTATAAAATATACATGGTAAGAAACTATACAAATATACGATTGTCTATGCAGAATAAAATAATTTTACATAAATCGTTTTATCAATCCTGTTTAAGTATTAAAACGTTAAAAACAGAATTTATGAATTTCATTATGAAACATAAACATTATCTAATTTTCGGATATTCAATTTAGCAATTTGTATTAGATTTGCCTGAATTAATTATCTTAATAGTTATAGAAGGATAGAAAGCGTTCTTACCTTCGTATTTCTAAAGAACATCCGGCCTGCGAGAAAATAGTTTGAGGGCCCGAAATGGAAACGAGATAGTCTAGTTTGGTTTGCATGTCTATTTACGACGTAGTTCGTTAACCCGTGCAGCTACGTGATGCTCATGTCATATATATATATATATATATATATATATATATATATACACGACGTGCATAATACATGCACTCGAGCAATGAATGATAATTAATTGTTCTTCGGAGAATTGTTTAACGATTAAAACATACAGCTGTCAAAACAGAAAAAAAAATTCAATTTACCGTCATGAAATAATTTCGACAAATTGCAGATTTGCCGTTTCAGACAAAAGACGTAATTTCATTAGAAACAACATTGCACTTTTTATTTTCTTGCATTGTGTTTTCTCGCAATTGTTTTAAATTTCTATAAGCTACTCTGAGCTAAGAAGAGAAGTATGCCTGTGTCTCGTTTTACGCCTGTGTGTGTTTTTGTAACGCGAAAGGTTTCACGCAGGCGTCGATACAAAAAGCGCCGCGGACATAAATCGGACAGTTCGCGCGCTACTTTTCAATTGACTAATATTGATTTGATGACAAGTGTAGCCATATGCATTTCGCGACGCGAAGCAATAGGTGGATCTCGGATTACACAGCCGCAGTCGCAATTGCATTAACGCGGTCTCAAGCCGATGCAAGCCGGCAGTCTACGCGTCGGCACCCGCCGCAAAACAGTGCCGCCACAAATCTCTCGCGCGAGCGCGATACATTCTAAATTTAATTAACTCGGAAATTGAAATTTCCATTTCGCGTCGCGAGATTCGCGAAGGCGCGTAATTTATATCGAGATGTAGTCGAGATTCGTAATAGTTTTCCGAAAATTGTGCCGCGCCGCAACGGCGGTTTTACGAAATTCGTGATAAAGTGCGAAAGTGCTCGAACGGCTCATGTGCGCACGCGTAACAGAGTATATAGTTTAATAAAAGAAAAAAAAAAAAAAACATAATTCGCGAAGGCCGGGAAATTCATTTGGCGATCGCCATAAAAGTCCTGCTGATTTCTCGATGCGAGAAGAAGTCAATCGGTCGAGTAGCCCGCGGGTAATCAGAGAGAATCGATGCAAACCCTGTTATCGCCAATCATAAAACGAACCACGGTCGACTTCTCTCGTTGGCAGGAAAAATAAATAGGCTGTAAATGGACGTCTAAAGAGACGCAGCCTTTTGTGGGACGAAGATAAGGATTTATCGATTGAAAATGTCACTTCCCTACACAGCTTCCTTAATGTTTATGTAACTCTGTAACACGTAATTCTGTAATATCGTACATACGACATACAACGTAGTGTCCAAGAGTGTTGGTGCTCGACAAGCGGTTTAAACAAGCGCGATTTCTAACGAGCTCCATTCAAATACGCTTGACTCTCGGACGGAGTGCCGCGAAATACTTGAAAGGATTTGAGAAAGGATGGAGCCTTGAAAGGGATTGAGGCGAGGTTAAACCCATAAGAGGGCGAAGAAAATAGGGAGGAGCACCGGCACCGAAAGTAGGTACTTCGAGATATCGACCAGCCAGTCTGGACCGTTCCACGTCCGCGCCGTTGTTTTCTCGTTCGCTCCTTGTTCGCAGCTGGAAAAAGGCTGACTGCAATACCGCCTCTTTTATAGCAAAAAAGAGACACTTTTCTCCAATGTTGTTGCCATTCTTAGTTTCGCGGAACGGATTGCTTTGCTAACTTGTCCCCCCAATCGTACAAAATCTATAGTCAAATCTGAGACGTGAGATGTAAAGAAATGATGTCTTTTTCGTATTGCTTTGAAAAAAATATAATTATCTGATTGATGTAATGATTTTCCGAATGTACGAGAACGGCGTAATTAGGCGACTCGATATCGAGAATTCGCGTAATGAAGCAAGTAGGCCGAGACATTGAGCGATAACTCAAACCAAGAAATTCATCCATTGTCATTGAGGCGTTCTGCCTACCATCCCAATTGTGGCGAACAATAGCCGCGAAGTCTGCCCGATCAATCCAATTAGGAGCGGGTTAGTTACACGATTCCTCGACTAATTAATAGCATAGAACTAAATTCACGCGCTGTAATTAACACGCTTACTTGCAAAACGTTGCGTTGATAAATGAATGACGCATATAAAATATATTAAAAAATTTCTCCAGGTTTTTGTTTCTCCATGGATAAAATTTTTTAACTTGGAATAATTGTCTTTTCCTCAACAAAATTGTTAATAAAGTTTTGTTTTAGAATTTAACATGATTTATACATGATTTATGATGAATATAGAGATATTTACATGTTTTAAATATGAATACTTTTAAATTTTACATCAAAATATTTTTTATAAATTTCACTCAAATATCTCTTCTAATTTATTAAAGTTAAATCCTAAAAATGATTAAATATTTAATGTAACTAAACGTGCTTGTTATTACAAAATGCAAAAATACGACGAAAACGGCGAGTTCGACAAAATCGCCTCTTCAAATTGGTTGGGAAACCGTACGGTTAAACAAATATCTTTCCCTCTGTAATCCCGTGATCTTTTATGTAATAAATTATGGCAAGTAAAGGAGAGACTGCTTTAAATAAAAGTTACAACCCACGCTCTCCGTAAGACGGAAAATATCACCGCTTCTATTATAACGTGCATCCGGGGAGAAAAAAAAATCCCTGATGCGAGTGTACAAGCTCGTGTAGGACACAATAAAGTCTGCAACCCCAACCCATGAAATGCCACGGTGACAAAGGGCGGTTAAGCCCTTCTCGACGTAGACGCATCGCGTACATACGTGTCGTCGTGCGGCGCGCGGGCGTCGTTGCATCGCGCAAAGCGGAGCGGCGCGGCGCGGCGCGGCGCGGCGTGGCGCGGCGTGGCGCGGCGTGG